CACTGTTTTTTTCGATATACACTTACCTAGTCATATAAGTAATTCAATCTCGAATAAGTAAGATCTTGCCACTTGTAGCTGTTGCACAAATCCTACGTTGGGGGGGCGGGGGTTGAGAAATAGTTCAAGTATTTACCCCCTGCAGGCCATCATTAAGAAATGCCGATCGTTTTGCGCATTGTTTACATTTATTGATATCGGTTGGCGATTTTTAAAATCTCATAACTTAATTATCAAGTTGCGGAGGTAATACCTTACGAGAAAAAGGTCTTATTTTCGTTCATTCTGTTCATTTAATGTAAAATTTCCTTCTAAAAGAAAGGCTGTGTGAACTAAGACTATTCATTATTTTTATCATCATAAACAGCAGTAGCGTTGTCATTATTAGTATTGTTGTTATTGCTATCACTATTATCATTATCATCATTGTCATCATTTTTATTATTATCATTGTTGTTGTTGCTATTATCATTGTCATCATCATTATCATTACCATTATTATCATTATCATCATTACCATTATTATTATCAATGTTAATATCATTATTATTATCATCACTATCATTATCTTTATTATTATCATCATAATCATTAATATTATTATTACTATTGCTATTACAAATACAAATACTACTACAGTTGCCACAACAACTATCACTGTTATTATCACTGTTATTATTATTAACACTGTTATTATTATCACTATTATCAGTGTCACTATTGTTAATGCTGTTACTAATGTTATTACTACTACTTTATCACCATCTTCATCATCCTCATTATAACCATCAACATCAGCATCTTCATTATCATCATTTTTATCCTTATCCTCATCATCACATCATCATCGTTGGCATTGTTATAATATGTGTTATTATCCTTATCATCATTATTACCATTATTAATATTGTTATTATTAGTATTAGTATCATTGATATTATTCTTATCCGTATTCGTTTTCTTTGTCTTATTTTCCTTCTTATTCTTATCTTTATTATTATTACTATTATTATCATTATCATCATGATTATTATGATTATGATTATTACTATCATTGTTATCATTACTATTATCATTTTCATTATCATTGCTATTATTACTATTGTTATTATTGTCATTATTGTTATTATCATCATCATAGTTTCCAGCAGCAGCAATATTATTGTTATTATGGGTATGTTCATTATTAGCAATATCATCATTAATTTATTTATTATTATCAGTAGAAGTAATAACATTATTGCCATTGTTATTATCATGATCATTATTATGATTATCAGAAGCAGAACCAGTAGTTGCAAAATTGTCATCATGATTCCGTCTTATCTTTATCACTGTTATCATTACATTACTCTTGTCTATGATTTTAACTTGTTGAATTCCATTTCTTTACCATGTTCGTAATTCAGAAAAGTCTTGTATAAGTGATACATTCTTTATGTTTTATGTTTTATTTCATTTATATCTAATGATAAAACTATTCGTTTTATAATTATTCTGAAGACCAATAATTAACAACGATACAAAAATCTTAAAGATTCTCAATTACATTTAAATGAACATACATCAAAGCCTATTTTCCACAACTCACTGCAGATAGTTATTTTTATTCCAGTGCTATAAAACTGATTGGTAAAGCTAGCCTTGGCTCAAAGTGCGATCAAAAGTAACGCCAAGACTCAGCAGCGCCATTAATGAACATCCAGAAAACCGTCTTTAGAACGCGGTCTCTTTAATCCACTGGAGATAGAACCGCTGTCGGACGTTGACGTAGAGCCCGGCGAAGTCCCGAAGGCCGCAGTCGTAGCCCTTGGAGATGACTCCCGCCAGAGTGTATCGCTTGCATTCGTGGTGCACGGCCGGGCCGCCAGAGTCGCCCTGGGGATGTGAGGGAGACAGATTGAGTCAAGTGGCCAGCCTTATTTTTTCTCCCTATCATAAGGAAATTATCTGCCTTTATTATTCTCGATTCAAAACAAATGAAATCAAACAAGCAGACGGTCTAGCTTGGCGTTTGCCTAACATATATATTGCAAAGCAAAGATAGTATTTTAAGTATGTTAAAACAGATGTTATCTGTGTCAAAAATTTGAAAGAATTACTCGTATTCGAGGTAAGAGAAAATAAATAGGAAGAAATGAAAATAACCAATAAAAGAAAATAATGATAATAGGCCTATTGCAATTATACCTGACAAGCGTCTTTGCCTCCTGTAGTAGTGCCAGCACACATGGTCTCTCCGGCGATCCCAGAAGGCCAAACTCTATTGAAGAATACCAGTTCCTTGTACTGCACATGGCACCTGGACGAGGGGAACACTTTCAGCTCAACTTCCTGCAGAGTCGAACTCCTGCGGCCACCTGCAACACGTGTCACAGGGGGAATCTGTTATAAAGGGCTCTAGGTCTTGTGTTTTAGCCTTCCTGTATGAAATCGTTACGCGTAGGCAGGAAGAGGCGAAGAATACTGCATATTGTTTATATACATATACATACATACATATATATACAGATATAGATATGTGTATATACAAATATATGTATTCACACACACACACGTTTGTATCTATATAGATAGATGTGTGTACACACACACACACACACATATATATATATATATATATATATATATATATATATATATATATATATATGTGTGTGTGTGTGTGTGTGTGTGTGTGTGTGTGTGTGTGTGTGTGTGTGTGTGTGTGTGTGTGTGTAAATATACATATATATACATACATAATATATGAATATATACACACACACACACACACACACACACACACACACACACACACACACACACATATATATATATATATATATATATATATATGAACTAGAAGTGCAGAAAGGCACTGACCTGACTGGGTCCTTCCCCAGCCGGTGACGGTGACTCCGCTGTTCACGAGGCGCGACGGGTTCCTCTGGTTCCACGGCAGGCACACGGGCCGGATGAAATCCTGTCGGGGACATGAATCAGAATATGCTTCCTCAGTCCCCTGTACGTACTTTAATCTTTAATCCACTTATTTAATACGTCCTGCAGCAACAGTGAACTCGTTCATAACCCTGATTATAACAACAAGGACCATATCAGTACCACTTGATACCATTACCTTTATCTGCACCTTCCTGTCGAGCTTGATGAGCGCGAGGTCGTGGTAGGCTTGTTCAGGGACGTAGTGAGGGTAGACGACCGTCTGGCTGATAGCGTAGTCCTCGTGAGTCGTCTCGCTCGGGTCGTCGTAGTCGTGTTCTCCGAGTCGTACGACGTCTGGATTTCTGAGAATGATATTGATGATGATAGCATGATCATGATGATGATATTGATGATAATGATGATCTCTGATGATGATGATGATATGATGATAATGATGATGTGATCATGATGATATTGATGATAATGATGATCATGATGATGATAATGATAATGATGAATGATGATCATGATAATGATGATCATGAATGATGATGATGATATGATGATGATGATATGATGATGATCATGATGATGATATATGATCATGATATTGATGATAATGATCATGATGATGATATTGATGATCATGATGATGATATTGATGATAATGATGATCATGATGATGATATTGATGATAATGATCTGATGATAATGATGATCATGATGATGAATGATGATCATGATATGATCATGATGATGATATGATGATGATCATGATAATGATCCTGATGATGATCATGATGATGATATGATGATATGATGATTGATGATCATGATGATGATGATATGATCATGATGATGATGATAATGATGATCATGATGATGATGATAATGATCGATGATCATGATGATGATATGATGATAATGATATGATGATGATGATCTGATGATCATGATGATGATCATGATAATGATGATCTGATGATAATGATGATCTGATAATGATGATCATGATGATGATATTGATGATAATGATGATCATTGATGATAATGATCATGATGATGATATTGATGATGATGATCATGATGATATGATGATGTGATGGATGATCATGATGATCATGATAATGATGATCATAATGATGATCATGATGATGATAATGATGATCCATCATGATGATCTGATGATCGATCCATGATGATGATGATGATAATGATGATCATGATGATGTGATGATCATGATCATGATAATGATGATCATGATAATGATGATGATAATGATGATGATGATGATGATGATGATATTGATGATAATGATCATGATGATGATATGATGATGATGATATGATGATGATCATGATGATCAATGATAATGATGATGATGATGATAATGATGATCATGATGATGATGATGATAATGATGATCATGATGATGATGATGATAATGATGATCATGATGATGATGATAATGATCATGATGATAATTGATGATAATGATCATGATGATGATATTGATGATAATGATGATCATGATGATGATATTAATGATAATGATGATCATGATTGATGATATTGATGATGATCATGATGATGATGATAATGATGAATGATCATGATGATCATGATGATATTAATGATAATGATCATGATGATGATGATAATGATGATCATGATGATGATAATGATAATGATGATCATGATGATGATAATGATGATCATGATGATCATGATGATATTGATGATAATGATGATCATGATAATGATGAATGATGATGATGATAATGATGATGATGATCATGATGATGATATTAATGATAATGTGATGATATGATGATAATGATGATGATGATATTGATGATAATGATGATCATGATGATGATATTAATGATAATGATGATCATGATTGATAATGATGTTAGTAATGATGATAGCAATGATGATAATGAAGTAGTAATGATAATAATAATAAAGATTAGCAGTAATGATGATGAGGATGTTGATAATAAGAATAATTAGAATTAGATTTGTAATGATAATAATGATGATCATGATAATGATGATAATAATAATGAATGATAATGACACTAACAGAAATAAAAATAATAATATTAATAATGATAAAGATAATAATAATAATAGTATTGAGTAAGAAATAAGGACAATTTTAACAATAATGATGATATATAAGAATAAAGATAACAAGAATAGTGACAGCAATGAATATGATGATAATGGTAATAATAGTGATAATGATAATGATAGTAATCATGTCACAAGTGGTAGTGGTGGTAGTTGAAGAATTGGGGATAATAATAATGATTATGATAATGATGATAATGGTAGTAATAGTAATAACAATAATTATAATATAATTTTCATTAATACCATTACTATAATCATCATTATTGTTATCATTAACATTATCATTACATTTATTTTTTATTATCATCATCCTTATCATTATTAATACGATTATGATAATCATTTTGTATATAAATATTGGTTTAATCACACTGTTATTAAAATTATAATTGTCAATGATAATAAAAATAATGATAATAATCATTACTATTATCAGTACTATTATCATCATTATCCTCATCAGCATATCAGTATTATCATTATTATTATCATCATTCTTTTCATCACCATCAGCATCATCACATAATGATCATCATCAATGTCATTCTTATCATTATGGTTATGCTTTCTTATCACTATTACCATCAATATCATCAGCATAATAATAACAAAAAAATATCGAGCTTGACACTGACCGGGAATTTCCCTATCGCCGGAACCTCGTTATACGGACAGCTTTTAATTTTTTCTGGTCGCTGATCTTACCTGGAATCGAAGCAGTGGGCAGCAGTGAGGACCCATTGGTCGTTGATGAGGGAGCCTGCACAGAGCCAGTCTGGGGTGTTGGTGCTGTCCTTTTCACCGAGGAGAGCCTGTCGAAGATGTGAATCATTATACTTCAAACATACACACGTAGATGCGTGCATATATGCACATGCACACTAGCAGACACACACATACACAAAAAATAGATAACTAAACACAAACACACAAATCTTTCCATCCATACACACGAATAATCAAAACAATCATATGTTCGTGTTCTAAACCGGCGCTTTGAATCAGTTTGAATCAGCGCTTTCTTTTCACAGTGAACATCAAAGTCAGCTCACCATCCACGGCCAGGCGCTGACCCTGGACGTAATGCCGCCCAACACGAGTCCTGCGAATACCGAGGCTCCGATACCGATACTTTGGCCAGCGAGACTCCTACGACGGCGGCGGGACGGGAGGCCGCCGGGGTGCGGTATGGTCCTCGTGGCTTGAAGTCCACACTCTGGGAATAAGGGGTGCAGTTAGAGGATTCAGCTCGACCTGTAGTTCAATAAGGGAGTTTGGTCGAGGGGCGGTGGGTGTTAGGGGGGGGGGGAGGTTGTTGGTGTTTTGGGAATAATCAGTTAGATGGGAAGAGTCTAGTTCGTCTAGTTCTCTCTCCCTCCCTCTCCCTTTCTCTCTCTCTCTATCGATCTACCTATTTCTATCTCTCTTCCCCTCCCTCCCTTTCTTCTATCTATTTATTTATCTATATCTTCTCTCTCTCTCTCTCTTTCTCCCTCTCCCTCTCTTTCTATCTATCTCTCTATCTCTATCTCTTTCTCCCGTCACTCCCTCCCTGATCCCTCTATGTCTATCTATCTTTTCCTTTCTCTCTCTATCTATCCATTTCTTTCTCTATATACATATTTTATCTCTCTCTCTCTTTCTCCCACGCACACACACACACACACGCACACGCGCACACATTCTATCCATATCTCTCAGCAATAAACAGCGCAAACATAGCTTCACTTGCCGAAATTAACTGCCGGAGCAGCGATGCCTCCGTTATCCCCTGCGCTGGAACACGAGCTGGAATCTGTTGATCGAAGAGATGAAAAAAATCTTTTGGTTACCAAAGCGTTTGAATTGCGCTATAAAAAGATCATTAGCTTCATTTGCATTCACTCTCGTTCGGTATGATTGTTCTTTGAGATTACTGATCTTTGATAATGGTCAAAGAATCGTTTGCTGATTTAGTTTTGCAGCATCACCGAGCAGTGACTCACCCGCAGGACAACACACGATGGCGACGCGACCGACGGTACCACAGTACTTCACTTCACGCCTGTGGGCAAACTGAGCGACTTCCGGGCACTCCGTGATCTTCCGACACACGCCAGGCCCTCCAGACAGCAGCGTGCACTCTTCATTGATGCCTGCGAACCGTGTGTCAATTTATGGTGTCACATTAACGGAACATACTCATAGCAACAAATAGTTCCATGTTCCATTTTCCTCTCCTGTTATATGCAGAATGACATCACGATATTCAGAAAGAAACCAGACCCTTTGACACTAACCTTGTGCCGCACAGAAGGTCAGCGTCGACCCAACGACGATGGCAAGGAGCGAAAGCAGTCTGCGACCGACCCACATGATGACTCTGCCAATCCTGCCGCGAGACTGGACTAATAAATTCGTGGATTAGCGTTTTCAGTTCTGGCGGCGGTGAG